TTGGATGGGAATTTTCTAAGGAACATGGATATGCTACAGGTAATGATCCTGATAATTTGGTATGTAACATATTTACCCCTTCATTTCATCTCAAGAACCCATTATGGCTTCAGCAGATCCCCCATCCACAGATGCAAGAACTGCAGTGTTAAATGTTTTGATTGTCTAAATGCCAAATTCTGTAAGTAACCATGTTTCTATGCAAATTCCCTATGCAATATACTGGGTAAAATGTTTGTCTAGCTAGTGATTGAGTCTGTATGCTGTTTTACCAGAACATTCATGCTGGTAAAACATTCCTGAGTACTTCCAGAGACACTTACTGAATGTGGATATAGTAACACTTTATCTTCTAGTTCTATCTTGCTTTACGTTTATAGGCCATTCTGTGCTGCTAGGTGCCGACAGCCCAGTTTAATTACATGCCACAAAGCTTACTCCTGCAGGAGGAGAGGAGGAGCAGAGACCTTTTTGCTGTGGTGAGCTGTTACATCCGCTCGGTTGTTTTACATAACTTCCTGCAGGTCTCAGGTTCCTGCATGCTTGTTTTCGGAAAGTGAAGATAAGCCAGATTTCCATTCTAATCAAGTTCAAATCTCTTAGATGTACATGTCACAAAATGCAGTTCGGTCTCAATTCTTATCTCTGGATGTGGAATAACCAAGAGGAATGAGATAACGTAAGAAGGAACGAAAAAAAACAGGAGGGAAGTGGTGCCAAAATGTATATAAAAGAGGACGTTTCAGAGACAGCCATTATGTTTATTGTGGCCAACAGACTTTCCATGACATTAACCTAGCCATAGAGTTGTGGTGAGACTGCGTTTTTCTTCACATTGACTGTAGTTAAGTCATCCATGTAGGCACGATACAGCTCTCCAGTAATTTTCACAGGATTGCTCTGCTGGCTTGTCTGCCCATACCTTAAATTTGAGCCTAATGCATGGAGGGAGGGTTATTCACAGCATGGGAGGTTCATGCTGGGTAATTCAGTTCAAATAAACTGTCCGGGCTGCTCTTTCTGCCATGTCTTACACTACTTTCCTTGAACTTAAAAAAAGCAGGGTTGTTTGGAGGGGCTTTTTATTAGGTTAGTTTTAATTCAAATCAGTTCTGTCAGTTGTTTAACCACTTGGCCTCATGAGTGCTTGTGCCAACACAAAGGAGACCTTGCTGCAGGAGAAGGAACAAAGGGTGAGAGTCTGGAGGGAGAGTCTTTTAAGCAGACAGTGATGCTGATAGTGCTTGTGGATCCACCAACAATGCAAGCATTTCTGCTCCCTGAAGCTCGTTCTCCATGCATTTGGCCCAAATATAGTTTGGTCTACCAGGAAATAATCTAAATGGGGCATTCAGAGGACTTCCCAGGGTAACAGCCCTATCAAAGATGTGTAAAGTGACCCATTCATCTCAGTGAATGAGTGTGCTTTAGAGAAGAATGGAACTTTTTAATATAGGTCAGAGTGGTGATTGCTCCATTTATCTGCCATACCTCAAAAATTTCAGTATTGCCTTTTGCAAACTGGGGAGGAGACAGATTTGCCCTCACAGTAATCTGAATGCCCCCCTGGTAATAGTGCAGATATTTGAGGAGGGAGAAGAGCAAAGATCTCTGTTTGTTACAGGATTGCTGCTCTTGCCATCATTACTTGGTGTTGGTTTTGATTTTTAAGCTGGATCATTTTAATGATGTAATTTATTTTAAGATTCCCAGGAACAGTTACATGGAAACAACTTGGTCTGGCCTTTCTGCTAAAAAGGAACTGTGTTGTGGATCTATGTCTAAGAAGGCCTCTCCTCCCAAACCCTTTCAGTCCTACGGTAGTGCTCTCACATGTAACCATTTAGCATGTGTCAGATGGTGTCCCAAATTCCATTTAACTCGGCCCATAAGTGTGCCTAGACTAAATATTGTGTGACTGTAATAAATGTAAAGCTGTGATCAGAGCAGAGCCACAGCACAAGCTCAAGCGGATATAAACATACACTGGAAGGATGAGTTGGATTAACTAATGCTATTTTTGAAGGGACTTTTTTTGAGAAATCCTTCACTCTAGCGACATTCTATTTAGCCCATTGTCACTACCCGGGGAGATGCTGTCAAAAGGAGGCAGACCATAGCTCTAGACAACCGGAATTTTAAATGTGCAACATTCTTGTTGTTTTGTTGCTAAGCAAAAAGTGATGTGGAATCATAGGTACAACTGCAGTGAAGAAAGGTTGTCTTGATGCCACTTTGATTTATGTATCTCAGCATCCTACATATTCAAGGAAATTAATTGTTATCTGTATAAATGGGAGTAGCACATAAATATTAGATGATGGCAAATGCCCCATGCACTTGACATCTCTCACCATCTTTGACCAAAAATAAATGTGAACAGCAGGAAAGAAGGAGATAGCTTTCTGACAAAACAATTACCAAAAGCAAGCTATGCTTTGCAGCCACAAAGCAGAACAGAAGTGGAATCCCAGACAAAGTGAAGTCCATCTTCTTTGGACATCCGTTTGTCAGGTAAATCCTGCTCTCTGGATTTTTTTCTGAGAAAAAATCCTTTTACTTGGAAAGCCACAAGTTCTTGCTCCATGTCTACCCTTTAGTGTTGATATGAACAGTTTCCCAGTAGAGACTGTGAGTGTGCTCTGCAATTCTGTGCTCTGACCTACAAGAATTTAGACAGTCCTTTGCCTCAGTGCTTTTGTGCAGTTCTCACCTGAACAGCAGCATTTAAAAACAGATACATATTTCTTGAAAGATCTGCTTATTTTAATGAATAAAATAAGTATTTATTATTTTCTGAAAGAAGAGAAAGTTTTTTTGGAGACGTACTGAATGACAGCAAAGTTTTGGAACGATTGGGATCCTTGTGCATCACTCAGAATTTTAAGTGCAGTTTGTCTTCTTTGCAGTGCTAACTGCCTCCCTCAGGTTAGCCTTTCTTCTGCGAGGGCAGTCACACTGCAACAAAAACAACCTTTGAGCTGCTCAAAGTTAGGGCTAGCATAGCTGAGAATGTGCTGGGCTGCTTCAATTCACACAGAAAACCATTTGCTTTTTTTTCCCCAACTGGGCTAGTCTTGTGTCAGGTTAGTGAGCTGAACTGGTTTATAGGGGATCCAGCAAGCATCAGGTTGCTCAGAGTAGCATGTTGAAAAGGGGATCTTCTTGTTGCAATGAATTATCAAATCAGCTTCAGCTGCTTTATGCAACTTCAGCCTTGCACTCATGGAACAGAGCAGGTAAGGCAGAACATGTAAGTGATCCATACTATTTTCAGTACAGTTATTTTAAAAACTTAATTTAAATCTAAATTGAACTAAACTGTTTAAATGTGCTAGAGTGAATTAGGGTTGGATCACACATTTTTCTGGTTCACATGTGGAAGGAGTAACCTGTGATTTTAGTACTGCTAGGAATGGTGAGGTCTTTAGCTGGCTCAGCATGTTCTAGAAGGATACCTGACTGCCATGGTGGCAGGGACAGATCCCTTGTTCTCCTACGAAAGACAGCAGTTCTGTATTCAAGTAGTATGATGCAAGTTCAGGGATGTATGTTTGAACCAACTCATTGCAAAGAGAGAGGAAAGATTTTTAAACCAACGATGATACTAGTATTACAAGCCAAAGAAGGTTTATGCTGAGAAACCAATGTAAAATGTGAAAAGTGGTAGATAAGCATACACTGGAACAACTGTATGTCTGTGCCACTGTATAAATGAATATGATCAAAAAACTGATTTTCTAGGGATCTTTCTCTGACTTCTCAGAATTGTTTTAAAAATGCTAGTCAAATGGCAGATAAAATCTACCGTGGTGGAAATTATTTACCTTCGTAAATGTCTCTCATAAAAGAATTAACAATAAAATAATTAACTATAGAGCACGAAACAAAGCACTATATCCAGTAATATTTTTGCATAAGATTTTGTGAAGAGGGACTTGGGTGGAATTCAGGCCTCTGTGTATAAAAAAACCTGGCGGCTGTTGCTGCTGCAGTAAGGACTCGACTATTTGACTTCAGTTGTGTCCTTCTGTGTGCCCAGAACTGACCTAGCTTTGGCAGGGCTGCATAGCTCTATGCCCAAACATGACTGAGATCCAGAAGTTAGTTGTTCTGCTTGAATACACTGAAAGGAAAACCCTGGAAGTGCATGCCTTGCAGGCAGTACAGGCTGTAGAATACTTACACAATCATGAAATGAAGTAGTGGCTAGTAGGATTTTGCAGAGTAACTGTTAGTTTATGGCATGGCATTTTTCACTTACCATGTCATTGTTCCCTCCACTGTTTCTATGTTTTCTGTACTTCATTTGGTTACTGAACAAGGCAGACTCCTTGCCCAGTACAGAACAGGGACCAGAACGCATGCTTCCGCCTTCTAGGTGGGCATCAACTTCGTGTACTTTCTGTCTCATTGAATTCTCCAATTCATTGCTGCACAGCACCATACCTTCAGTGGGCAGATGGGGATGGTCCCCCACCCCAGCACAGGCAGGTGGTGAGGCTAGGAGGAGGGTAAATGCTGATAAAGCAATTAAGTGTTGTGTTTTCCCTACCAGCCTTGCCTAACCAAAAGGAAGTTCTCTTATGGCTTCAACTGTTTGGTTAATTGCAGAGGACTAACTTGCTAGGAAGGTCATAGAGATGATAATTGAAAATGATGGGATGAAATTTTAACTGTACATGTTTTCTTTGATCACTCAAACTGTTAGTTTCTTTCAGTTAAGCCTGTTAATTGTGGCATGTAGGTGAGCCAAGGCATGTAGGCAGAGGTTGTATCTTTTACTAGACTAACTGACGTCACTGCTAAAAGCTCATAGTTAAGGATTATGATGGGAACTCATACCTTGTTTTAGTTTAAATGACTGAAGGTGAATATATTAAATGGGAGCAAGCATGTACTCACGTAGGTGACTTACACTCATAAGTAAGTATTTAATTTCTTACTATGTGAGAGAATCTCTTTGCATGCTAATTTTGTAGAAAGTTCATTAAACCAACCTGTTGTATGGCTGATGGATCAGCATACAGCTGTGTTCTGTTGAGGTCTTGCATTTCTTCCTGCTTACAAAGCCTTTCTAACAGTAACTTTTTGCCTTCTGTTACTGTGTGCACTCTCTCTGTTAATAGTTGTTGGAAGTGGAGAATGGTGTTTTCAGAAGCACTTTTCTTAAGTGGAACAGGTGACACCTCTGTGGACAAAAGCAAAGTATGTAGTTAGAGTGCACAAGTCAATGAACTGCTGACACTGAAGTTTAGCACATGCTAGATTTTCCTAATGCTGTCCTTCTGTTATGTCTTTTGGCAGGCGTTGCCTGGTGTTGTGTAAGGGGTCATTGTATAATGGCGAGGAGGAATGAAACAGACCTTGTAAAAATCACTCATATTTGAAACTTTCAGCTTTGCCTAGCTACTGCCTTCTGCAAGACGTACTTATCTAATAGGCAATAAATGAAAGTATATTTAATCATAGAGTTAGTCCTGTTAGTACAGTTTGTGACGGTGAAGTGAGCAGGTTGAATTCAGAAATGTTGTGGTGTTTGGATCTGTTTGTGTTCATCTGTCTGTAGACAAGACATCATTTTAGTATTAAAAATAGGGGCGAGCCTACTAAAAACTAAGTTTGTCATCCCTCATTGTTGGACTTTTGATTATTTAGGGCCTGACAATTCTGCCAGGAAGAAAAATAAGCTCCTGACCTTTCCTATATCAGATTGCATGCTGCATATTTCTATCCATCCCTTCATTTTTCTCTCTCAGTGATTCTATACCGTATCTTCTCTTTGGAATAGCTGTCTTAACCTGTTTTCTCTTGTACAACATGTTAGATATTACATGTTAGACATTACAAGTTAGACATTATATTTTAGACATTATATGTCTAAACATGTAATTTCTCCTCTCGTTTACTGACACATAGTATAACATGAGGAAACCACAACCATGACTGTGATACTGTCCCTATTTTCCTCTGAGCAACACACATAATTAAGACATCATCTTCTTTTTAAAATCTTTTTATGTTTTCCTTGCACTTGATCCTTATAAATCAAAGAAGTATTTCCTGATGTTTACCTCATTTATACCAGGGATGAGGACTGAAATAAAGAAATTGCAGTTTTCCTTAGGCCCACATTTTTATCAGGGCTCATCTTTTGCAAATTATTGACGCTGAGAGAAGAATGTTGGTTTGGAGCTTGGTGTTAAGTTCTAGAATTTGTTTTTTTAACTGTTTGAGTACTGGAAACTAGAATCTGGCATCCAATTCAACAGCAGTGTATAGATGCTTTAAAAAGTCAGGGGCTCTTACCATCATTCCATGTTTTTCTCTTGATACTCAAGGATCCTGTGTTTGCTGTAACATCTCCCACTGAAATTTAGAAGAGAAAAGCACAGTCAGTCACACACCGAAAAGCTTTATACTACAAAAGCAAATGCATTGGGACAAGTGACCTGGAGCAATGAGAATCTTCTAGAAAATTTAGGTGCTGGGTTGGCACATAAAATCAGGATGGAGACATATTTATCTGGTAGATGCTTCGAACAGCTTAATAACAAAAGCTTCTTTTCGGAAAGATTGTTTTACTGTCTCCTGCATCAGCATTCACAGCACAGATTACACAGTCCTTTTCCAGCATGCTAAAATGTAAAAAAGCCAGGTTGGCTCAAATATTCTTGGTGTTGACAAATTCCATTCACGGAGAGCAGAAAAGAACAGTAGTATCTTCAGTTTCTGGATTTGGAAGAAAACATCTGTTTTAAGAATGTGATCAAGCACAAGAATGAGGCAGGTGAGAAGCAGTGGTGTCATCCCATGGCTGTGTGGATGTCATTCCAGCCTCAACTAATGGCACTACCGTATGGTGCCCCTGGACACATTAGGGCTCTGATTCATGACTGAGGACAGCTGGCTTAAGGATGGCTCCAGCAGTTTCTGCTCAAGCTGTCCATCTGGCCTCTGCTGCAGAAATGGTTCAAGTCCTCAACCAACATTTGCGATGTTGCAAATTATTATCTAACATATTGAGAAAAATCAGAATTAGTTCTCGTTTACCATAACTCACTGAGCTCTAAGCTGCAGTCGTTAAGCTGCTTCTACAAGAGCATCTGATCTGCCTGGAGCAAAGGCAGGTGCCCCTGAAAGCTGGAGCAGTTGGCCAGTCATGAGAACCCTTACAGCAGTCACAAGGTTAGCTGTGTGGTTCCTAGATCAGAGGTCTTTTGGTACTAAAATAGAAGCAAACTCTATTCAGAAAACTAATTCTGCTTTAGCAAAATTAATATAATAATTACAGGTGCTCAGATAAACATCACTGCCCTGGATTTTTCTCTCTCTTGACTGTGGTGTGAATTGAATCAATGAAGTTTGGAGTCCTTGCAGTTCGCTTGATTGTTACCGATTTCCACAGTTCTAAATGGTATGGGCTTGCAGCTCTCTATCCATAAGACTTTACATGCCTGCTCAATTACCTCTAAAACCTGACACATTTTCTAGCACCATTTCACTGTATCTCACTTAGGCTTCCAATAACATTGAACGCTTCAGGTGCTTTCACTTTTTGTTAATGTTCTCACTTCTGAACTCCTCCAAAGACCATTTCCGTTCACTGAGTGCTGCCTATGTGACCATGCAGATACAGGTTCTTCAGTTATTTTCCCTCCCCATTCTGGCCACATATTTCTGGCCCCTACAGCAGGGTCAGCAGGCAACTTTGTTTCATTTTAAGTGCTTTATCTCATCACTGAAGTTTTTAGTACCTGATAGGAGACTTGAACTTTCACATCCCCAGCTCGAGGGACCCAGAGGCTGTCTTCTTAAGATACAGTCAACTTCATCGTAAAATCTCATTTTTCTCCTGGGATTACCAAGATGCTCATTTTCCTTCTGCAGTGCGCGGTATTCATATTTTAGGTTCTTGTACTTTGTGCGACATTGTTTCCAGTCTCTGTCTATACCACGTTTCATTAACCTTCTCGCAATTTCCTCAAATATTTCTTTATTTCTTGTGGCCCCTTCAAGCATTTGTTGTATCTTTTCATCTGACCATATGTTTATTAGAGCTCTGACTTCATTATCACTCCAGTGTTTTCCTGCTCCAGTATCATTAACTGTAATAACTTTAAAGTGATTTTGTGCTTCTTCCAAGGGAATGTGATTGTCTGAAAATACAAATGAAACAACAACTGAGTATTGCTTGAACATACATACATTAAAGTGTAATTGTAGCTAATGATTTGGTAATAAACTGAAGGATTAATTAATGTTTATAATAATCTCTTGTTATGAAAATCTTTTAACTTTACAATGTTAATATCCATACATGATTACATTTCTCTTAAGTATGCAAAATATGTAGCAAGTGAAATCTCTTGTTTCTCCAAGGCATCTAAAATTCCATATTTTGTCAGTGTAATTTTGTTGGTGTTGTCAGATTAAAGACAGGTGTATCCAAGCATTACCTGCAGGAAAGCAATAGGCCTTAAGCTTTAAAGCAACAAGATATCAGCATTGGTAAGAATATGGCTTTCCAGTATGGTTTCAAATTAGAATGGCAAGGCAAAATATCATGCAAATGAAAATGCTACTGGGGATTCAACAGAAGAAAAAAACCTTACCTGCATATTCAGAAGTAGGCAGATGCTGCTTATCCGATAAGTATAGAATGCAAAGTTGAACTACAGTATTAATGCAAGTTTTGCTGATGACAGGGAATAGAGCTATGAAACTAATTTTTAAGTTTAGTGGTAAAGCTAGACTGGAGTCGGAAGTAGAAAAGTAGAGCTGTATTTGCAGTAGAGATCTGGTTGCTCCAGCTTTGGTACTGAAATTACAATGCAATTTAGTTTCAGAATAAATGCGTGGAAATTAATACTCACCTGTCCCGACCACCCGTTTTGCTACTGGCGTACAAGATCTGTCTTCTGAGGTAGTGCTCACAGAATCATCATCTATAGAAACACATAGTTTTAAACAAAATAGACTTGGACTTAGACAAATAAATTGCTAATATTATTGTCATCCTCTGCAGGTAACACCTATCTTCAATTAAAAATGTCGTAACCCATTAGTCTAACTCATTAGTTATAACAAGTCTTCTGCCACATGCCTTCCTAAATCAAATTATTTATTGGAATTTCTCGTAAGCCCTATCTTTCTTTCTGCCCGCGCATTCCCCAAAAAGGGGCTGTGGATGCACCACAGATTTAAAATACTTGATTAAACACGGTAGGCTACGTGGATGGTTTGTATCTCACATATAAGTTGATTTGCATAACATGTTTGTACACATTGATTAGCACAAATGTGCCTTCCAGTTTTTTCCCTAGGCGATGTGGGTAGTGCAGGCTTGGTGAGGCTTTGGTGGCAATTGTAAGGGCATGTGTCTGCAGATTCACTCATGCCTAACAGGGCCTGGACTGCAGCCTTTCCCTTCGTGGGGTCACGCGTGCTCCCCCACTGCTGTCGTGAAGTGAGCAGGGACTTGGGTCCTGGAAGACCACTGTCCCCCTCTCGAGTTTGGAACCTGAGCATGTGATTCGGATGCGATGACGAGGACTGAGAAGCACAGGCACCTGTCGGCAGACCTGCATGCAGTGTGATTTTGCATAAGCTGCATTTTGTACTGTTGATGGGGCTTTTCTCAGATCTTTGTGAGTTTCCCTGGTACACCAGAAAGAAACTGAAAAGAGACCTTTGCTCCTTATTTCTACTTGTTCTCCTCTATTCAGGACTCCTTTTTACCACAAAAAAAAAAAAAGTGGTTTAGAGTCCATTTTAGTAAGCTGCTGTGGTGGGTTTCAAAGCTGGACTTTGAGACATGCCTTTCCCTGATTCTGGAAGGGAGGGCAGGGAGGGATGTTAGGTTTTGTAGGGAAGGTTGCATACTTTTGCCTTCCTTTTGGAGACAGCCATGTTTATTTACTTTTGGGTGAAAGGCTAGTCTCTGATACAGAGCTTTTGTGATGGAGATAACATACACAGAAGAAAAATTGGAAAGCAAACAATTAATTAATGCTTTTGTGGAAATCTTTAGCCTCAGCTTAAGTTGCACTTTCTATATGTAGGGATACACTTTCAGTGTAAAATGGCAAAGAACTGTTGTTCACAGAATCATTATAATAGAATTTTTTATTCTTTCCCTTAACTTCTGGGTGTAAACAGCACTACCATAAAGTATATTTTGATCCAGGATGTCAGGTCAATAGACTTCAATGTCATCATTATTTCCTCTGGTCTCTTTTTTTCATTACCTTCCATGGTATCTATGCTCATTTATTCCAGAAGATTAATAACCCTATTGTATTCTAGTGTTAAATTTTAACATTTTTAATAAAACTAATCTTCTCCTGAATACTTGTCATTGAATATATGACTTCTACATATTGCTGAGGCTCTGATTTCAGTTTTACTTGTAAAATAATTCAGAATATTTATGGCAATTGTTTGATAGCGAGTAGTTTGTAATTAAGTGCACTGTCATGAAGTAGTTTGAAAAGACAGACAAGGCATAAAATGTTCAGTGTTTCTGAGACAGCTATTTAGCTCTCCAGTTTATCCTCTCTAGCATGAAAACACATCCTCTCTGTGTATGAAAAAGAACAGAATTTGTCAAAATCAAATGCAGACTTATCACATCTAGCATAGTAAGGAGTATGTTATCTGGGAAAATAAGATCTTGTTATTAATTGGCGGAAGGAGAAATAAGCATTTATGCATTTTTGCACTATGAAATCAAACAAAAAACAGATTTTATCATAACCTGGAAGTAGAACGAGTATAATGTGCGGGAATAACATACAAACTTTAGAAATCTGCATTTCCCAGTAAAGTAGAATGTGCTGTTATAACCATCAAGACACAGTCTTGACCTACCTATGTCAATCGTCTCCTTCTTTATTTGTGTAGCTTCCAGAGCTGCCGGGCTGGAGTTGGCAAAGTCCCCCTCATCTTCAATGATTTCTGTAAAAAAAAAAAAATTACAGAGTTCTTACCAACTAAACAGGTCTTGAGTAATGTCTTGAGGATCACTAACTTCAGAATGCCATTAGTGATAACTGTTGTTAAAGATTTCATCTCGTAATACATTAAAGCTGCCATTTCTCTGCAGTAGTGGGCTTAAGAGCAGTGTGTATGCACTTATATATTAAAATAAATCCAGAACACCACATCACAGCTGCATAATATAAGTTTATGGATTAAATGTGCAAACTCTTAAATTATTTAAACCTGGATCAGAATTTGTAGAATGGTTCGCTGATTGTGGTTGTAAGATATGTAGTAGCTGGTGAACCTCTATGCAGCAGAACAGGCAAGACCGTGACTTTCATAACGGGTGCTTCAATACATACTGAAATTATTGAAAAACTCCCAAGCGACTGATGCCAAGAGTCACTGAATTAGCCCCAAATGGGGCAAGGGTCCTGACATTGCATCAGGGTGCTGTACCTGGATGACTGATGACAAAGTACTAAATGCCTGTCCTGAGAGCATCCCCCCTGCTGTGGCTTGCAAGGGGTTTACATCACACAGCCGGGCCCCAGCTCCGGCTCCGGGCATGGTGACAGAGGTGTCCCTGGGCTCCCCTCCACCGGGAGGAAATCTCCACTCCTCTGCCATTGGCCCTCTGGTGTTTAAGGGAGAACTCCACCCCTCCGCCCTGGGACGGATGGGTGGACAGGCGGATGATGCAAGTGGTCTTTCCGATCCTCGTTTCCAGGTGAGGACACTGCTGTACAGAGATTAAATGGTGAAGGCCACACTGCGGATCGATCACAGCAGTTTCTGGCTCCCAGCCTGTTCTCAGTCCATTCAAGAATATTGCCCCTGAACATTGAGCAATAAAGCATAATCTAGAGTCATTTTATTAAAAATTACCCCCCAAATCAATACGGCCTTGTTTGCATTAGACGTTCTTTATGATGTGACCAACATCATGTGCCTTTGTTTTTTTTTCCCCCTTGGCGAGCCAAGAATGTGGGTAAGGAGCCTGGCTAATTTTCTAAGCCACTGTTCAGAGTTTTTTGGGGGAGTGCACGAGGAGAGCAAGACTGAGCCAAACAGAACAAACCATCGACAGTTTCTGACATGGATAAAACACAGTGGCTCTGTCTGCATTGTTTAGTGAAGCTATAGACAGTTGCCAGCAAATATGCTTAATCTCTACGTTGTGTTTGAAGCATTGCTCGCAAGGCCACCAGAGCAATGCTGTCGCAGTCTTTCCTTTTACCTGCTCAGACTGATACAAGCTCTATTCTCTTTTGGCACTCTTCACTATCACTATTTATTCTGTTTTCTGGCTCATGAGGCAATATTAGTAATTGTCTCCTAATCCTTACTCTCGTGTGTCTTGTGTAGTATAAAAGGGCAGAGGGGAATGTCAAAGCTAGGGAAATTTTTTCAGTGTGTGGCCTATGTTTACTCTCCAACAGCTTGCAAAGTTGCTGCTGACTCTGTCATGCAGATCTATGAGACTGGATACAGACAGCTCTGGATGCACAGTTAGGAGTTTGTGTCTGCAGCCCAAGTATGCCTTGGGCTAAACCAGTGAATAATCAAGAACTTTTGCTTTTGCACTTCTCTTAAACACTCTACTTCACACCAGCCCAAGGCATATGTATTAAAACATTATCTTTTGACTTTATGTCTGTACATTTTAAAATTCCAAGCACGCAGCAGTAAATGTTCAAAAGAAGCCAACATAAGTGCCTGAGTATGTACTGACTTAAGATCTTGACTTTAAACAACCATTTTTTAAAAAGCACTTGCTTAGGAATTTATCTTGGCAATGTCATGATTTACTCCACATTTGTCGTGAGAGGGGCATTAGTAAAGTATGCAGGGCACCAAAAATCCTAAAAAAATAATGACAAGAAAAGTAATTTGTTGGAAGCAAAATACTTGCTGTAGATATTTTTTAAGAACATCAGGCTACTGGCATTTCTTAGAATCTTGTTTTCATCTCCGCTGTTGTTTCCCCTAGCACTTCAGATTTAATCAAACACCTATACACAGTCTGTGGTCACACTGCAAAGTCTGACACATGTGGAACGTACATGTACATGGAGTTAAAACTGACTGACTGCTGCCTGTGCAAACTGAAGCAATTTGCTCTTCTGAATAGATTTCTGGAATTAACTGTCCTTAAAAGTGATCCCATGAAATAGAAAACATCAGTCAAAATGACTAAATAAGGTTTTATTTCCAGATTGATTTAATACAGGTATCTTTTATCATAAAAGAGAAAAATTTACAGTGACCCTAGCCTCTCCTAGGCTGCTTTTGCAAAAAACGAAATGGATTTTGTGATTGCTGTGATGAAACGGGTTTTGTGATTGCTGTGATGCTCTTGCACCCTCTGCTGGGCAGTCTGCTGAGAAAGCTACTCCGGGGCAATGTGAGAGAAATTTCAGTAAACCGTTAACAGTCTGTAGAAGAACGTGTAAGGATTTATTTACCTCTGTCTTTTCCTTCTCAGGTGGGCATTTGAGCAAATACATGTGGGCAGAGGAGAAAAACAATACCATAAAACATCAAATAACTAGGTATTTTCCTGAAACTGGTGCATTTGTCTTTTGACTAATACCATCTTAATTTTTTCCTTACTAGAATATGGCAAGACTGATGGGACTGTTTATAAAGATTGGCAGTGGCAGTGATATTACTGTGGTTAATAACTCAGATCCACATGTAAGATCGTGAGAAGCACATGCACTTCTGAGGGAGCTTGTGCACCTCTGCGCATTTACGCAGCTGTGGTTGCCAGAAAGCAGATGTCTGCCCAGGCTAGCTAGTATATATCCAGACAAGTATATGTATAACACTGACTGCAGAGTACATTAACTCCATGTACTAATTAGGAAGATACCCTGAAACAAGGTTAACAGAATTTCTAAATTCTTATTTATGTCAAATTATTTTGTTTTACACATTTTTTAAAGGCACATGGTTATCTATATATAAATTATAATTACATGCTTGTTGAGAAACAGTTTTCTACAAAAGTTCTGTTGAATATGGAGTAGTCCTTAAGAAGTCACATCCTAAAGGCTATCGATTGTCAGACATCTACTGATATCAAAGAACCAATGTAATATGGTATCCCTGCCTGACTGCCTTTTTCACTATTTATCAGCAAGTAAATTTATGAATACAGAGGTACATAAAATCTCTTTACTTACCAGTTTCGCACTTTAAATTTATTTGAACTGTCTAGGAAAAGCATTTACCACAATTAGAGAATAAACGGTCTCCATGATATTGTAACGTAAAAAGCGTGCATCTTTTCTCTGCTTTATGTATGTTACCATTAATAACATTAAAGTCTAGGTATTTTTTACCACCTGTGATAAAATTATTTGAGTCTGTATTGTTCACTTAGGAATGAGGGAAAGAATTTTGGAAACAGAAACTGCATCTCTTCACGATGGAGCGCTGTGGTTTTGCCTTTTTTCCCCACAGAAGTTTGAACAGTAGTCTTCAGAGTGGATAGGCTGAGCGAGAGACACTTCTGAAACACTTGCTATTTTAATCTTTCCCCACAAAATCAGATTGCACTTACAATTACCAGGAACAAAGAAAACATGCAGTTAAAATACATACATTTGACAAGGTAAAGGTAAGCTATAGATGTCTAACATCTACACTTATCCTAAAGGAATGTTGAAGTGTCAAAAATGAGTACTCAGAACTTTACTAGAAGTATTTAGTTAACTTTGTCTTAAATAACTCGTTTGGAAGATTGCAATCCAAAAAGTTGCAATATTACATAGCTGCAGGCAGTTGAAAACTATGTCAGATGACAGTTTAGTGGCACTGCTGAATCTATGTATTATTACAATGTCTTACTACTTACTGGTCATGTATATGTAGTAATTTTACTTGTTGATGGGGAGAAATGGGATTTGATGCATTTTACAAGTAGTTTTAATTGGATCCCACAAAGTACTATTTATGATTTCTTATGTATTGTATCTCTCAAAATGAGGTCCCTATAGGCAATGCACTTTTAATGACAATCTATTTTTCCCTAATGAATGCCTCAAGTGCCTATGGTGATCTGGTAAAAAGCCAATTATGTATTTCTTTGTTAGGAAATTTAAATTAATAAATATAATTGCTCTTGAATGATAAAACAAGAATACTACTGTCCAGTATACCTCAAATTACCTCTCATGATCGACCACGGCTTTACTTACTTGTCATAGCTGTTTCTTTCATTATATGCAGAGCTGCCAGATTCTCTGGAGTAGTGTTTACAGTAACATCATCTGTCAGAAGAGTTTTAATTTGACATTAAAATCTTTCAAGTTCATGTTAGACCATTTTAAAGTCTGTAAGACTACTCCTTAACGCCTAATTTAGACTGTATTCTGCCTCATGCTACTGAAAGAGATCATGAGGTCCTCTTTTGTGGACAAAAAAAGAGGTGGGTTTTGTGGTCTTTTGTCAAGACCATTAGCCTTCAAGACTTTCATGTGGCTCTAGCTAATGTTAAATTCCCACTTCCCCTGAAAGTTACGCTTTCAGGTGTAAACCATGTTTCTTTCTAAAGAGTGTATGACCTTCATATTCAGTGCTAGTAGTGATACTCTTAAATGAAGTTTTCATCCCCTGACATGAGCATTTACACATTTAATTGTATTAAATACTGATCACATTATATTGTGAAAAAGAGAATGCCATATTAGATTATACACAGGAGATTGAACAATTCTAATCCTTGGGAAGACATAGTTTAAGTAGAAGTAAATGCAGTAATACGTTGCACTCAGCTTGCTTAGACCAATAGTTTCTTCTTCTTTACATCTTGGGTCATGAATCTTTCTTTGGAAGGATTACTTACTAGACTGTTCTTATCAAATTTAGCAGAGCACTCTAAATGTGCACGTATGCCTGTATTTATTGAAAATATGGTTACCACTATGACGTTATCTCCTGCTTAAAAGTTTTTCAGGCCTCTG